ACTGGGTTATTAGTTTCCGTACGGCAGGTGGGACATGTTAAATTCCTTCGAGACTAAAACTTAAGTAAATGTATATCAAGATTAGTAAAATAAGAAAAATTTTGAAATTTTCTTTTAAGACTTTGGCAAATTTGTCAATTTTCAGGAGGATTCCGCACCAATGATTTTAGTAATTTTGGAAGTTTTATCGAATTCTCTCTGCAAATCCACTCTATAAAAGTCTTCTTATTCTATTTTTACGGTTCGTCCTTGCTCTACACCGATGAAGCGTGAATTTCCTTATTAGATACAGCCGGAGTGGCTAAGTGACAGATAATTTTACACTTGAGAAGCTCCGGCTGGAGAAGTGCACTCTTTAAAGATTGCCGTCAATGACAATTTTTATACGAGCCAACAAAGCTTTAATTGGTACACATTCACGGCTTTATATAAAATATTTATTAAAAAGTAAATATGTAAGATTTTTAAGTACAGGAGTCCCAAATTCATTGTCCTCATAGGCTATCTCCGAAACTAAAAGAGATGTCAAATCGCCAACCATGGCTCGCTTGGTAAAGTCGTTCAACGCCAAGACAATTCGAAATTTGGTGGTAAAATTTAATGCCAGTGGTTCTTTTGGAAACTTCGAAGCCCAAAGTTAAAACCCATACACGCCGTAGTGATGACGCTACGCATAGCTCATAGCTGCTGTAAGTGTTCAAGTTTCCGTTCGGCGCCGCTCTCAGCAGTTTGGCCCCTCGATGACGGTTTGGACTGAACTCGAAGAAAATGACATGAAGGACTACTGATTCCAGCAAAATGATGCAACATTCCATACTGCTCGATTAACAATGGATTTGCTGCCTACCAATGGGCACGTTCAGCCGGTGTCAACTGTTGAGTTGCTATATTAGCAGTCTTATTAGCAGTTTAGTAAATATCTCAGCGTAAGTAATCTGCACTTAGTTGGTTGTAAAATTCTAGGTTAGGACTAACATTTTTTGTTTCTCCCCTTTAATTTTGAAAACTGACAGAACTGTATAAAATGAAATGAGTCTTCAAATCAAGATCATCATCCACTATCTCTTGTAATAACACAAAATTTTCAAAAATATTATTGTTTTCCATAGTTTTAGGTTATGCAGAACCACTAATTCTCATACAAGTATTAAAGCTCATACAACTAGTTTACTGATTTCATTCAACTGTTGACACCTGCTGAACGTACCCAATGTTTCCAAATCGATTGATATCAAAAAGTGGCAGCTACAACAGGCCGGCGCGGGGGCGCCTGATTTGACGCTTCCTGACTTTATCCTGTGGGGATACTTTAAGAGCAAGGTTTATGTCAACAAACCAGACACTCTCGAGCAACTTAAGGCCAATATACGCCAGAAAATCACACAACGACATTGAAGGTAATGAAAAGGCTAACAAGCTGCATAAAGAAGCAGCGAAAACCCCCTTTATTGGACCCCAACACTACAAAAGAGCCACTTAACACAGGCAATCAATAATTGAGAAGCTTCAACGGTAACCTTACGCTGGTTCCTTACTTCTAGGAACGAAATGTCAAAGTATAGCAAAACCGAATAAAACTTTCACATTCCTTCACGCTATAATTAAAGTTTCAAAACAAAACTAACCTATCCTAACATTCCTTCACGCTGTAATTGGAGTTTCTCCACGCTATAATTAGGGTTAAAAAGAAAACCGACATTCCTTCACGCTATAATTAAGTTTATTGCTACCTAATCAGCAATACATTCCACAAACAATTTAATTTTTAGCAATACTACAATTACATATATCACATTACAATACAATACATTTTATTTCCTATCCTACCCCTCCCCATCTCCTCCCCGCATCTCCCTACGCTGCCTTGTCGCCACCACCTCCCTCATCCATTCTCTTCCCTCTGCCCCCTCCCCCAGCACCTGCTTCCAGCCGATCACCTCCTCTCTTAGCTCGTCACACTCCCTCAGTAGGTGCTCCAACGACTCCCACTCCCCCCCACATAGCCTACAACCCCTCTCATCATCTCTCATCCAATACCTATTCGCTCTCTCCTCATTGCCGCATCTGAATCTTGCCACCATCCTCTTCCCCTCCTCATCCCCCTCCACCGACAGGTACTTCGGCAATCCCTCCGTTATTATTTCCTCGTACTTAGGGTTGTACCTGCTCTCCCTTATCTGCCCCCTTCTTTCTTGCCTCTGTACATCTCTGTCCCTGCTCTCCAGCTCTTTCCACATCTCAATCCCTTCCCTCCTTCTATCATCTACCGCTTTCACTGAGTACCCCACCCTTCTGAAATATTCCTCCCTCCCTCGTTGCCCGTAACCCCCTTTCCCTGCCTTAATCTCTTTCCAGCACTCCCCCAAAATTTTACATTGAGACCTCCCTTCAACCCTCTCCTCAAAACGTACCGCCCTTTTACCCGCCTCCACTCTTAACTTATCAACCTTCACCTCTTCTCTGACTATGTACTCCGGCGTCTCTTTTGCCAACCCCAAAACCCATCTCCAATACCTAGCCTGTACGCCTTCCAACAGCCCTTGCTCTTTCCACCCCCAAAGCTCCGCCCCGTACATCATAACACTTCTAATCAAGCACTCGAATATCATCTTCCTTTTTCCCATATCCCTTCCAAATAATCTCTCTCCCCACCCCCAGACCTGCCCCATCACCTTATTCGCCTTCTTGGCCATTGCCCTCACATGCGCGCCTTCCTTGTTGTCCTCTCTAAATCTGTACCCCAAATATGTGTACTCCCTCACCTCCTCTATCTCCTTCCCTTCCCACCTCCA